CTGTTTGGAACCTATTTTGGAACCTGTTTGGAACCTGTTTTGAAACCTGTTTGGAACCTGTTTTGGAACCTGTTTGGAACCTGTTTTGGAACCTATTTGGAACCTGCTTTGGAACCTATTTTTGGAACCTGTTTAGAACCTATTTTAGAACCTGGACTATGATGAAATATTTGTGAAATGTAAATAATGGGGGAGTTTCTATTATTTTACATATAAAAAAATTTAAAATAGAAAAAGTTAAATTTTTAGAATAACCTAATTAAATAAATATACGAATACAATTATACTTATTACATATAAATTACACTATATTAAAAGCTTTAATATATTATAATACATTAATATTAAAGTTTTGATCAATTAAGTGAATATGGAATTATGACCAATAAAGTGTTTTACATTTTTTATGTATTAAAGAATTATTTTTGAATAAAAGAGTATTTGATTGAGTAATAATATATTTAGTTATTTACTTCAATTTCAAGTTCTAAGTATATCTATAATCAAATTAGTAATTAATTAATTATATATGATAAATTGATAACCTTAATAAATTTAATTACTAGTTAAATATCATACTTAATCATTATAACATTACATTTAGTTAAATGATTACTTAATTAATTATAATTTTATAACATTACTTAATTAATTTTAGTATATTAATTATAGCATTACATTAATTGATTACTACTTAATTAATTGACTTTAAGTTATAACATAATTTAAATAGTAATAATTGCTTATATTAGAATTTAATTAATTATAGCATTACGTTATAGATTTATAGTATAATTACTTAATCAATTATACATTTTATATAAACATTAGTACAAACTCAATTAAATGATTAAAATTTTAATTAATTTAAATTACATTAAATTTATAGTATGATTACTTATAATTAATTCACTATAACATTACATTATGTAATGATTATTAATTAATTAACATTCACTAATTAAATAATTACTTAATTGATATGTCATTATATATAAATATTATAATTACTAATTTACTACATAAACATTAGCATAATACTTAATTAAATGATAAGAAATTTAATTAATTATAACATTACCTTATAAACATTTCATTATAACATAATTAAGTCATTACATTATAGTTAATAATTACTCAATAAATTATAATATTATTATATTACATTATATGTAATCACTTACTTATTATAGCATTACATAGTTAAATGATTACATAATTACATAATTAGTTATGAATTTATAACGTTACATTATAAACATTAGTAATTTACTATATTATTACATTACTAATTAACGTTAAAAATTTAATTAATTATAACATTACTTAATATTTATAAATGATTACTTAATCAATATAACTTCATTATAAATTAGTATATTAATCAATGATTGAAATTTAATTATTATATATTAAGTTATAGATTTATAGTATGATTACTTAATTCATTATAACATTACATTATCTATTATATTATGATCATATAATTATAAAACATTACATAATTAAATGATTACTTAATTGATTATGACATTATATTATAAACATTAGTAATTTACTAATTTACACAATACTTAATCAAATATTATAATTTTATTAATTATAACATTATATTATAAATTTATAGTATGATATTTAATTAATTATAACATTCTATTATAAACAATTACAATACTTAATTAAATGATTAAAACAATTAATTAATTATATATTACTTACATTAAATAGTATATTACTTAATTATTATAATTACAATTTACTTGTAGTATGATCACTTATTTAATTATAACATTACTGTGTTTCTAATATTAATTTACTAAATTATATTTGGTATATTATAAAATACCCAATTACAATTATAACATTAAATTATAATTAACTATATTAATATTTATATTTTATGTGAATTGTGATGATAATTTTTTGTGTTTTGGTTTTGATTGACGAATTTTATGTGAATTGTGATGAATTGATTGAATTCAAGTGTTGCTTAGAGATTACAGGTTATGAGTTACATTGGACACAAATGAATAAATAATGAAAATTTGTTAGGGGTGTATTTGTAAACTTATAAGGTGTTTTTGTTATTTTTTAAACTAATAGGGGGGTAATTGATTTTTTATAGGGTACCCTGGAAAGGAACCAGAACCTGCATTTTAGGTTCCGGTTCCTTGAATTGAAGAACCTGCACTGTGCGGTTCCGGTTCTGGTTCTCCAGGAAAATGCAGGGTACCCGGAACCGCTCACCCCTAAGTCATCACCTCAAACCGCTCGAACAAATAAAGCCAATTTTTGTATCACACACGTCAACAATTATGCATCAAACAGCATAATAAACTTCAACACATTACATCAAAACATAAAATCAAACTTTTAGAAAAGAAATTTTGGAATCATAAAACTACTGGGAAGGGACAAATGAAAGCTTGAACAAATTTCAAAAAGGGATCAGAAGACCAACTTGTCATTAGAAGTCGCCAAAAACCTCGTCATTCATCGAAAAAAGTCCTTGTCAACAACCCCTAACCCCTATCGTTAACACTGTATACAAACCCAAAACCCTAAACTTGCAAACCGCCACTCCACTGCCAGTCAACCTCGCCGTTAACACTCATCGGTCGCCGTAGATAATCATTAGAAGGCAGTCGAACACATCAACCAAAACCAAGGACGTAACCAAGGTTCTGAGTCAGTGGATTCAAAACATCAAAGTTGATAAATTTACAATAAAATATATACTGAAGTAATAAACATAAAAAATGTACTTTTAAAAGTTATATATACTAAATTATCAATTATACAATTGTCCTCGACGATTTTTCATATTCTGAAAACGTTGCATAATTGCTTCATTGACAACTCCATCAAATATCTCTCTCTCAATATATGTAATAAGACAATCATTTAACAATTGATCTCCCATTCGATTCCGTAGTCCATTTTTCACAATCTTCATCGCAAAAAATGTTATTTCAACATTTACAGTTGCCACAGGTTATATCAATGCTAATTTCATATCTAAAAAGATAACAACACAAACAAAAACACCCTCTTTTTCTACCCTATACTCCAACCAATTTGCATATTCTCTAAACCAAATGGGATTAAAACGACGCATTAAATTCTCAATTGCTTACTTTTTAAAATTATAATTGTATGGTTGGCAAGGTTCTTTTTGCAAGTATGTTTTTCTCACTTTGTCTCTATCATTAAGATGATATTCTAAAATTTTAATCCTCAATCCAGGATCTGTAGGAAGACTACTCAAGTTAAGCTTAACATATGTTTGTCTTGAACTAGATTCCATAGGCTCATTGTAAACACTATCGTGACGCCTTATGTTTTGTTCAATTGACGGTTCCTCATTAGAAAACTTTCTTTTGATAAAAAACTTGTCCATAACTGAAAAAATAAAAGAATTTTTATTATCAGAAATATAATTTATTTGCAATTACAATTAGAAAACAACACAAATTTATCAAAATTCAGCTCATAACTTAGGTTTTTCAAACAATTTCTACTAACCTAATAAAATTCAACTCATAAACCCATGAAAACTTATCAAATCTAACTCTAAATATCAAGCAACTAACCAATATATCGAAATTAAACCAAATCCCCAAATCTCTACAACTTAGAGTTTCATCAATTCTTTAAACCATATTCAAAATTAACTCAATAACTAACCACAATGTATCAAACCCAACTTAAAACAACAATCATACCTCAACATAAACAAGATTAAATCAAAACCCACATCAAAATCTAGGAATTATTTCAAACTCATTTATTAAACTCAACAAAAACTCATCATTCATGATCTTTCATCAATTAAGAAAGCTAAAAGAAAAAAATTAATTTTAAGTAAAAAAATAAAAATAACATTAGTGTCATCTTACCTTGTAATCCAAAGGAGTAGCCTTTTTTGAGTATACAACCAAAGGAAAAATATAATATGAGAGAAAAAGAGAGAAAATAAAGAAAAGATAAAAGTTTAAAAAATATTAATTAATAATTTATTTTGTGGGGTCAACATAAAGTTAAGTAAGGTTAAAATTGTAAAACCTATAAACTATAAATACTTTTTTAAAATTTTTGAAAAATTCAATAAATTCAATTGAACCCACAAGTCAATATGTGGCTACGTGCCTGACCAAAACTCTCAAGTCTCTGCTTCAAAAACACACAAAAGTCGAATGACTTGTGCGTTTCTTTTTCCTTTTCTTTCAACTATCAACTTTAATGGACACGTGCCCAAGCCCTACACTTCAATTTCAAATTTTAATTATTAATCGACAATAATACCCTTGCTTTTAAGTGTCTTTTGACCATTATGCCCTTATACATCACGAAAACTACTAACGGACCTGACGATTGGGTGAAAAAATGGTATTTTAAAACTTTTTGGATAAGAAAGTATCGTTAAGGCAAACCTTGGGTGGGAAAAAGTCGTTTAAATAGGTTTAACACACTGGAGCAGTAAGTTTTCTTCTTTGATGTACTTTACACTCAACCCAAAAATGAACTTTTTTTTTTATTTTAATCATTTTCATTACATTTTCCATACCACTTTATAAATAAATAAATAAAAATGACCATGAAAAATACTCACATAATTCACACATGCAACTACGTAAATACTAAAATGAGTTTAGTTTTTGTACCTTAGATAAAGTTCCAAACTTTCAAAACCGAATCTCCTTCTTCTATAACCGATGCTGACCTTGCTACAATAGTTCTCCGACCTTTTTTAAGTCTTCTCANGCGTTTCAATGCATTATTATTTTTTTTAAAATTTTGAATTTGATGTTTTACATTGCAAGATAATCGATTTCTTTGATAAGAAAATGAGTTTAATGTGTGATGAGTGGTAAATGATTCCGGCTGTTTTCATTATATTTTGATATTAAAATAAGTTGTTTCTGGTTTTCTATTTGATGATTACATTGTAATGTGATTTCTGTTTTTTTTTTTAAATATAGAAATGAGTTTAATGTGCAATGGGTGGTGAATATCTTCAGTTGTTTTCGGTTTCCAAATAATAATTTGATGTAAAAATGGTGTTTGATGTTTTATGGGGTAAAGATTTTCGGTACTTTTTGTTGTATTAAGTTGCATTTTATTTCAATTTGATGATTACAATGTCATTTGATCGGTACCAAAATGAGTTTAATATGTAACGAGTTGTAATTTTTGGGATAAACAGGACGAGCTAAATGGGATTTTGAGAGACTATGTTGGCAGGGAGAGTCCACTTTATTTTGCAGAGAGGTTAACAGAGCATTACAAGCGTCCGAATGGTGAAGGGCCACTCATATACCTAAAGAGGGAAGACTTGAATCATACTGGTGCTCACAAGATTAATAATGCTGTTGCACAAGCTTTGCTTGCGAAACGGTTGGGTAAGAAACGCATTATTGCTGAGACTGGGGCTGGTCAGCATGGAGTTGCCACTGCCACTGTTTGTGCCCGTTTTGGTTTACAGTGTATTATATACATGGGTGCCCAGGATATGGAAAGGCAGGCTCTTAATGTTTTCAGAATGCGTCTTCTCGGTGCTGAGGTTTGTTATTCCTTTTATTATGTAGTTATATGTAGTCTTTGGTGAATATGATTTGTTGTCTATGTTTTAAAATATTTTTGTTGAATTACTTTCCCCTTGTAATTGGTTTTTATCGCTAATTCTCTTAATTGAGTTAACTTGTATTGATTATTATGATTGGAAACCTTGCGTTTTATGATACAGGTTCGATCAGTCCATTCTGGGACGGCCACGCTGAAAGATGCTACATCTGAAGCTATAAGGGATTGGGTGACTAATGTCGAGACAACCCATTATATATTGGGATCTGTTGCTGGTCCTCATCCATACCCCATGATGGTTAGAGAATTCCATGCAGTGATCGGTAAAGAAACAAAAAAACAAGCTATGGAGAAATGGGGTGGAAAGCCAGATGTTCTGGTTGCATGTGTTGGAGGAGGTTCAAATGCCATTGGTCTCTTCCATGAATTTATCAATGACCAGGATGTTAGGTTGATTGGTGTTGAGGCTGCAGGTTCTGGCATAGACACTGGTAAACATGCTGCTACCTTGACCATAGGGGAAGTTGGGGTGTTGCATGGAGCTATGAGCTATTTATTACAGGATGACGATGGGCAAATATTTGAGCCACATTCCATTAGTGCCGGGTAAGACTTCCGATTCTTTTTTGTTTTTTTCCGCCCCTTCTTTAATTTCATGTGTTCTTATAAATTTTAACATGTCATGCAGCTTGGATTACCCTGGAGTTGGACCTGAGCACAGTTTTCTGAAAGATGAAGGGCGCGCTGAGTACCATTCTGTCACTGATACCGAAGCATTGGAAGGTATGAATTGACATTAGATTTTTCCATTTTAAAGCTTCTGAGTTCTCATGGGTGGATTATGGTTACCAGTAGTTGTTTATGGTTCCTGTTTCCGTCATTGTCTTTCAAACTTTTCAAACTAATAACTGTTCTGCCATTTCTTACAAGGTATTATATGCTTAAGTTATTTACTTGGAGATTTGAAGTTCAATCTCTGAGGCTAAGAGAGTCAAGTATCAGTAGATTCATCTAATAGTTCACCTCCTTTTTCATATCCCTTATTACGTTTTTTTTTGCATGCAGCTTTCAAGAGATTATCGCAACTAGAGGGCATAATCCCAGCTCTGGAGACGTCTCATGCGCTGGCATATTTGGAGCAACTGTGCCCGACCCTCCCTAACGGGACAAGAGTTGTGCTTAACTGCAGTGGTAGAGGTGATAAAGATGTTCAAACAGCCATCAAGCATCTAAAAGTTTGATGGCGATGTTTGCACACAGCAATTTAATTCATTGGACTGCCAATGAATAAGTGAGTTATTCCGTCTTAAGGAAAAGCTCCATTAACATTGTACTAGTATTTTATATTTCAATTTTGTATTATAAGCTTCTCAGAATTATTCCATGAAATTTAGATTGGAAACGTTTTTCTGCTACTCATCTCTCCCTCTTCCATTTTCCTCTTTTGGAGTTGGGGAGAATAATATGTATCAATCTATTGTAGCTTTAATGAAGATGCATTTTGAGTAGAAGTGTAAAATCTCTCCACCGGACCCGCATATTTTTGATGTGCATTGTTGATGTTGTGCTCACTTCAATCTCCTCCATACGACACCGTATTCGACAAGAGCTACAAAAACATACATAGAATACTTTCACTGTGTATGGAATCTCTATCCAAAAGGACCAAAGCTAAGAACCCACATGTCTTCTTAATTAATTGTCAGAGCTGATTTAAGGGAAGAAGACATGTGGGTTTGGAGAATCTTAAGAAGAAGTGTTAATTTAACCCAAACCTTTTTAAATTATCAACAGAAACGTTGATAAATTTATGAAATTGCCCTTTAACTGTGCATTTTATTTCTGATGAATGATATTAATTCCTTGAAATTTTGTATAATTATATTTATAGAATAAATTAGAGGATAATTCAAGAATTCTTAAAAATTAGTCAACATTTGAGGGCTCTCTTGGTAATTCCAAAAAGAATTGAGTACTAGAGAATAACTCTCGTAGTGGTACACTACTAGAAAAAAGAATGGCCTATAACTTTGGGCCAAGATCTTAATGGGTTGACCTAAACCCTTAAGCCCATCATCAAAAGGGTCAGAAAGTAGAAGGCTTTGGAAATAGCCCAAAGCCACATTAAAGTAAGTAGTTGTTGGCCCAAGTAAAATGCCTGCCCTTTCAATGCAAGAAGAGGCGTTATACATTGGAAGTGTTGCATTCAGTGAATCAATTTTCAACTTGCCCTTCAACTTTTCCAAGAAAACTTTAATAGAATGAAACAAATATAATCCAAGGAACAAATTCTTAAAAGAAACCAAATTGTCCACATTGTTGTTACTTGTGTCCCTTCAAACATTCAAGGTTCTAGACATTAACCTTGTTTATTGGGACATTTCTCCCCTCAACCTCCTCAACAGATACAGAAAAAAAAAGCCTCCCTAATTACCCTGTATAATGTTCGTTTATAATCATCATTTATTTATTTTTATTCATCATTATCTACACCAGGATACTATTATGCTGGTCCATCTGACCAAAATCCAGCGAACATTGATCCCGAAAGACAGCAACCAATCTACTCCTCCGCGCTAAACACATACCGAACAATGTATTCTCTATCTCATCATCGCCGTTTACTTGATGAAATATGAACTCTCCAACCCCACTTCTCTCACTGCTTTGCCTGCGGTAAGGAAAACATGGGCAGCAAACAGTCATCTTCACAACGATATTTAACTTGTTTAACATGCACATGAGTTTCGAGATCTTTTAGGAAAAGTCAAAGCATATTCAACTGTTCCATTATTGTACTATAGCATATCTTCAAAGAAGACAAACAAAACGAGTCTGTATGAGATGCCTAAGTTAGGTAAGAGACAGATCCAAACCACCTAACACCAAACCTAACTGTCAACACCAATGATAAAACTTTTCTAGATAGTTTAGCTAGCATCACCTTGAGCTGCTCAAAGAATTGGTGGATGATTCTTCCCCTGATATCAATAAATTAAACAAAGGGCAAGTTTTGGTGGGTTATTAATCAAGATAACTTAACCGACAGTTCAAGAAGACACTACAAGAAAGGGTAATTCTTCTGCTATATTGACTTTATTACCATAAATTGTCCCTTACTTTCAGAAATGCTTAACATCTACTTCAAGTCTTGAGTAATGGTTTCACCTATCCTTCATCTGATACTCAACTCTAGTGCAATAGTGATCAAGTGCCACAAGAGGTTGGGATAAATTCTGCACTCCAGTTGTCATATTAATTCAGCTAAGATTGTCAAGTTCCTTATATGATATGCTAAGCCGATAATACATGTTATCCTGTGATAAAAATCCTCCAAGACATGTAGTCTTTATTTTGGACTCTTGACACAGAAACAAGGTTATATGAGAAAGAAGGCAAACAAACAACACTGTCTGTATCTCAGGTCCTAGTCAGCTACTTCAAAATCAAGAATGGTCAGAAGAGCATACTGGTCTTTCTGAAAACTGGAGCTATCAGCGAGTTATAAGCAAACATACTTAATACATAAGGAGCATGACTTATTACCTGGGAGTACAAGAATGTTCCAAGGACAGCGATTGCCGCTCCAAGAGCGTTAATTGGCTGGACAGGTGTGCGGAAGATGATGATTGAGGAGACTATGACAGATATACGTTTCATGGTGTTTCCGATGCTAAATGTCAAGGGAGAGATCTCGTCCAAAGACATGTAAGACACCTGATTGTATAGATGATAGAATACACTTTGAGCCGCCACCCACCTATCATGTAAGATAACAGCCACACAAATACTTCAGTTAAAGACAAGAAAGGAAAGAAATATGAAAAGAAACAGTATCACTATCATTAAAATTGAAATCAATTGTGTGCACAAGGTTAACACAAATAATGATTTAACAGTAAATGAAAAGGAAAAGGAAACATATGGCTTCTGAGATTATACTTGTTATAATTTGCTGGGCGGAATATATACTAGTTTCAGCAAACATGAAAAATAATCAAAACCTTAAGTCATAATTACGGAGTTGTTACTAAATACAAAAAGTCAACACAAAAATTTACTATGTGATATCTAGTCAACTGATTAGATGCAATTTTGATAAACAGCAGATGGATATTAATCGCTAAATCAATATACTCAATACCCATAAACTCATCCTAAGACAATACTTCCTTGTGCAAATGCAAGAAAATCATCGTGTAACAACTAGTAAATCATCCAACTAGTTGACCCTTTTTTGAAGTGCTAACCAAGCGATACACAATCCATCATCTTTAATGCTATCAAAGTGTCAAATGGACTTTTCTTACAGGGATTTCACTCTATACAATATATATCGTACAAGTTAAGCAGTCCGTCAAATAAAGAGATATTCAAATCGTGTGAAGATTTCCACATCAAAAAATGACATCAAACAAGACATAAGGTATTTAAGTTATTTGATCCAGGTCAAGCAAATTTTCGTAAAAGCATAATTTACCTTGTACCTTTAACAATCTTACGAACACAAATTAATTACATGCAGACAAATACAGTGCAACAAAACAATACGAGGAACAGAGGTAATACCAAATGAATTGCGGTCCAATTTGAGAGATGGCTGTTTGCCATCCTGCTGCCCACATCTGTGGTCCCTCCACAACTAATGCAAAGGGTGTGAGAATTATGAGAGATAACATAGAGAGACAAGCATAGTAGTTCATCCCACTAACTGACTTTCCCTTCATGCCCCTCTTTGAAAATATGTTCCGAAAGACAAATGCCAAGTTTGATATCATGGCCCCCATAAAACCTGAAATAGACAGCCACCAACCAAATTCAGTAAGCTGACAGCAACCCCTAAAGGCAGAACAATTAAAATTACGTTTCAAGCCCCTAATAACCTTCTCTAGTAACAGATTTTTCCACTAAATCAAACCCATGTGCTTCAACAGACAAAAATATTTCATCATTGCCTTGATATATTCATAAGAATAAAAATCTCCTTTGACACCTAAACCTGGATTTATGGTTAATGAAGCCAAATTAAATTTAATTTCTGATGTGAGAATTTCTTACACTAAGCACTTGCTCCATGCATTCATCACATCAAATGATTGCCAGATTGATTGACATCAATTGAGCATAATTTGATAGAGTTCGTATTTTCTCAATCCCAAATGATAAATGCCTAGATCACTAATTGGATTATTTTCTCTTTTTAAACCTTCTCAGTGGTAAAAGATAAGAATAATCAAATGCGAAGTTGACCAAATAACACAGATGATAAATCATAAACATGGACCTATTCCAATTTTCAGAAACAACAGAGATTTTTATTACCAATCATGTTGAAGTTCAGCTCGGTCACAGCAGCAAGAGCACAACCACCTATGATCGGAATAAGGGACAAGTACACTGGCACTGGGAAGCTCTCACCCAACAGAAACCTCGAAACCAAGACACTGAAAGCTGGTTCTCCACTCTTGATGATGTGGGTGAACGAAACTGCCACCTTGGACATACTCACCGTTGCCGCTACGTGCCCAATTGTATGTGCCACAGCAACCTGTTTGCACCAAAATTACAGAGCTACTAAGATCACAACATCTTCAACCCATCTGCTTACAAATAAATACTAAATCACAAATCCTAAGTATTAAAAATCCCCAATTCTTTGTTTCGTTCGGCAAGAAAATTCTAACAAATGGTTAAAATAAGTTAACTAAGCCAAATTTAAAATTTTCAGATCTTTTTATCTCAAACCAAGAAACAACAACATAAAATAATTAAGAAAAAACACCCAAAATCAAATCTTAATTTTCTTTTCCCTTCCCTTTCCCAGAAACCCTGCAACCAAACAAATAAAAATGTAATTATCTTCAACAGACAATTAAAACAAAAACCCATTAAGATTTGTTACTTTTTCATCTTGAATCAAAGACAAAACAACATAAAATATTTTTAAAAACCCACCAAAAAAATATTTTAATTTTCTTTTTCCTTCACTTTCTCAGCACCCAAACAAACAAACAAACAAGCTGTAATTATCTTTCGACTACCAATAAAAACACAAACCCACAAAAACCAAAACCATCACTTTCTCTAATTTTCATCACTTTTCTCACCAACTAAACAAATCCCACTTCCACTTACAGGAAACAAAGTCTTCCAAAACTCCAAATCCGTCTTTGGAGTCTCCGCAATTCTTGTTGCCCACGAAATCAACATCATCAACGATCCACAAGCCAGAGACAACGTTGAAGTCAACCACGGATATGGAAACGCATTCAACACCTTCTTGTTATATATATTGAACACCACGTTTAAAGCCCACCAGGTCGCAAAATAAATACCGATTTTGACCTTCTTCGCCGCCTCCGATTTGGCCACTTCTGATCCTTCAATGGGTTGCGATTTGTCCGCTTCATAAGCCTTGCATGTGATCACCGACTTCTGGGGTTTCTCAAAGCTTGAAACTGATGAAACGTGGAGGGGTTTAGTAACAGAAAGTGAAAACTTTGGGGTGATTTGCGGTAAAAACGGCGAAAGAGAAGATCGTTCTTGTTTTTGTGAAACTAATCTCTTACGAGAAACTGAAACCGACCCACTCATCGTTGGAAGGCATACAGAACTTTTGATCGAACAAATCATCTTGAAATCAAACGTTGATGCGTTTAAATCAAGAAAAAAAACTAAACTTGATCACACAAAAGAAATTAAAAAACAGTCTTGCAAAAAATATATATGATTTGTAACACAACAGAATCACTGAAACACAAACACAGAGAGAGAGAGAGAGAGAGAGAGGGTATAAAAGACCAAAGTACAAAGAAAGACCGAGGGAGAATTGTTATTGTTTGGAGTGACTTTTTTATTATGCGATGGTTTGATTGGCTTGATATGAAGAATACAAGAAGGAAAGATTGGCTTTGAAATCTACTAAGAAAAGATTAATAAATTTTGTTTTCTCTGAAATCTCAGTCCAAAAAACATATCTAAAATCAATGTTACCAAACAGACAATCAAGCCATGTGATTGTATAATATCTTTATAATTATTATGGTGTATTAAAGTATTTTTCATCAACCTTTCCTTTCCTTGTTATTATAAAAGGTAGAAAGTTGAGTCAGATGGTTTGCTTAGAAAGAGTCTGGTTCTGGTGTGGTGTGGAGTTTTGCTTTTAAAAAACACTTTCAACTCCTGCCAAACATATGTTGCCATTTGTTGACGGGCTACAGAGTCAAAAGTTCAAAACTTGTGTTTTGAGTTGAGTAACAACTACCCACTTCAAATTTTCAACTACTTCGGTTGAAGAGTAACAGAGGTTGAAGGAGAAGATTAAGGCTTAGACTCAGTGATTTAGTTGTTTTTGCTTTTGTTTGTTGTTGACCAAGTTAGGTTCTGTTTTTGTGTCAAAAATCAAAATGCTATAAATTAAAAACATGAAAAACATTTATGTGGGATTGTTTCTTTTTTTTTTTTCACAATTTATTTATTATAAATTTGTTTATAGAATGGGCCGCCAAGTGCTGTCCAACAATGAAAAATAAAAGTCTTAAAAAGTGGATTTTCAAAGTCCAATATTTCATTATGGACTTAGAATGAAACCAAAGCATATTCCATTTTATTTTATTCTCCAATTTAAGGCACGCCTAATATATAATATATGTAGTATAATTCATGGAAGGCATGGAATGAACCCATCTCCATTGACTCCATAAAAGCTGATTGAAAGTAAATTTTAGATCCGATAAACTTTTAGAAAGTAAGATTTTGGAGACCCAAAATGCCAAACCAACAAGTAGTCATATTAAGGGCTTAATCTAAAACAGTTTTAATATCAAATTGTGAGATATGATCACAATCAAATTGTGTGACATAGATTACCAGTTTTAATTTTTAATACAGCAGGCAAGCATCAGAAGGTACTATATGATCCAACAAGATTTTGACAGTTGTAGACAGATAGAAGACAGTGAGTGAGACACCAAACTTTAATTTTGGCAGGCATTAAAACTATGCACAAAGAGGTTAATTTGCCAGCATAGCATTACTTTATAACAGCAAAGCATCACTATGTTACTATGTTTTTCTTAAGAATAAGTTAAAAATTATAGCATATTTCTTATTGATATATGTCAAAAACACTACGAGGTGTAATTAATCTTTTACCGTTTCATCAATCCTAACTTACATGATACATGTATTATATTGTAATACGTGACATTTATTTTTATTTCTAAGCGAAATCGAACGGGCTTCCCTCTAGGTACATTCTCAATACGGGGGCGCGAACCAATCATGAACCAAGGTGGCTGAATCTGTTTGGGTTAAGAATGTTTCACGGAAGCGTCCGGTTGTTCGGATTTTAAAGCTTTCCCCCAATTGTGTCATTATGATTGAGATAATGACAATTTAATGGAAATAACACATGCATGTATATGTATATCAAAAAACAATTTCACATATCATATATGAATATAAAGAACACGGAATATAAAATAAGAGTGAGTAAAAAAAAGTTACCAACTGCTTTGCTATTTCTTTCTCCTCGTTGAATCCCCATAAAGTATCCCATAAAGCACCTAAAGTGTGGTACCTCTAGATTGATACACACAGGATCTCACACTGATGGGAATGAACTCTCTACAATGGAATTAAGAACAACTTCTTGCTTGGGATGACAGAGAATATTGGTGGCTAGGGTTTTCTTATGATATTTCTCTTATAAAATAATGAACCCTAAGCCTCCTTTAAATAGCCACCAAATATTGAATTAGTAGGCAATCCCTGGAATATCTTATGCCAGTTTAAGTTATTCTATGATGGATGAACTAATAGCTAAACCTATGCTCATTTGAGTGCTAGCCTAATTTGGGTTCAAGTTTAATTATTAAATCCATTTATTAAGTTTCCTTATTTGGACTTAATCTTTTTAATTAATTAATTAACAATTAATGTATCCAATTACAAAATACCCTTTTAACTAATTTTACTAATTAGTCCATTATGACTTTTGGAAAGTTTAATATCCTCATTAACTCTTTAATGAGAGAATCCATGATTCCCATCAAGCTTAGAAATCCATAATGTGTGTGACCTTTCTAGGTTCACTTATCGACTAGCAGTAAGGTAAATATCAACTCTTGATATTCATTTTCCTTACAGACCATGAGTGAAACCTAGTGCCTAGCGGTATATTATGGCCCCAATCAATTAATGAAGTGGGATCATATGAACCTGTAAAATTGAGCGTTTTAGTCATGTCACCTCATTCCCATTGATGTCGTGTCCCGATCAAGTGCAGACCATGGTATAATCAAATCTCTAACTTGATCACATAATTTGGATCATCTTAAATGTGGAATTGTGTTTCTATGAAACTATTCATAAAACACAAATGCTTTGACCAAAGACTTCCTCCACATTCATTGATCCATTGGAACACTCAAGCTCATAATATCCGAGCCATTAGATTCCTTTTTGAATACACATTTGACTCCACACATGATTAACTCATAACCAACAAGTACTACACACTAGATATAAACAATCTAGTGATAATGTACTAAAGAACCACAAGCACCCATGCACAAGACATGATCACATCTTAGGTCTAAGGATAAAGTGACACTAATGCACATAACAGTGATCATTGACTGAAGATATTATACCCATGTGATCAATCGTCCAACGGTCACGTTCGATGCTTCATTCTCTAATGAATCACCTCATCACTCATGCCATTATGATATGAGTCTCATCACCCAACCATCGACATCTCATGCTAATCAATGGTGGCATACAGTAATGCTGATCTTGTGATAGTATTGCCCTTGTTATTATCACATCTAATCATGAACATACTTAAGAGCGATTTAAATCGAAAGAATGATCAGACCGACTCTTAAGCTCATCCCAAGGGATTCTTCGGAGTCTCCACTATACTTGCAAACCTCACTTAACGTGAAAGAGTTAAAAGAACGATCAAGTTCTCTGAAGCTAGGGCTGCCTATTTGGAAACAATTTCTGCTCCAAATGCAACATTAGCCCATGATAGGATTATTAATCATTCTTCTATTTCAAACAAAAGTAGTTAACATTTAAATGAAAACAAATAAGATCAATAAAAGCATATTTGGAAATTAAAACAAAGCAGATCATGCTAACAGAGATAATTATTGCTGAACCTTGTTTAGTTTTGGTTGGTAATAAATTAGGTCTTTAGAACTAAAACAAATATTTGTTTCTATGGAGTCCTAGTAAGCTGATTCGTCGACACTATAATGGCTAGAATTGGACCATTGCCTTCAACTGTTCTATTTTTCTCCTTCATTATAGTAATTCTCGATCTCCATTTTACTTCTTCAAAACCTCCTGCACTAAATTTCAAACTCATCCATAGAGACTCCCTAGAATCTCCACTGTACCTGGAAAACCTCACTCAATTCCAACGAATTCAAAGGATGTTTAAATTCTCAGAAGCCAAGGCTACCTATTGAGATAGAAAATGCACTAACTAGTATAGGGTTAGTTTTGTAAAAGCAGCTAAGCAAGAGTTAGTTTGTAAAGTACTAAAACAATAGTGTTTTGGTTTGTTCAAACATGTATAAATGTATTGAACTAAGTAATTCAGTTAGTTAATAAAAAAAATTCCAGAATTCTCTACACGTTTTTTCTGCTGTTTTCTCTTCTCCTCTTAGTTCAGTTAGCTTCTTTTTGCAACTGAAAATTGTTCATGGTATCAGACCCTAAGACAAGCGTCAATGGCTAGCTCAAATTTAGATTTTTTTTATCTTTGTCTCTAAACCAGATACAGAGCAATGCAGTGTTGGCAGTTCACAGAGCTTAGCAGCTCACTTGTCCCTACCAAATCTTACTGTCAAATTGGACGAAAAGAACTACAATTATTGGCTTTCGCAAGTACTTCCTGCCCTAGTCTCTCACGACCTAGACGGCTTTGTTACAGGTACAAACACTTGTCCTCCCATCTTTGTAATGGAGAAAATTGAAGGAACAGAACAATTATGTAAAAAGTCAAACCCTAAGTACTTTAATTGGAGGAAAACCGATCAATTCATTGTTAATTGGTTGAATTCGTTGATCTTAGAGTCCATGTTTAGACTTGTGTCAAAATGTAGTAACTTATATGAAATTTGGAATATACTTGAACTCCATTTTCAGTCTTTCTTTAAGGCTAGAACACTACACTTACATAACATGTTACAAACAATGAAAAATAATTCTCAAAGTATGAATGACTATGTGTTGTGTATGAAAGAGTTGGGGGGTGAACTTAATGCCAGTGGCGTTCATATCAGCGATGAAGAACTATTGCTCTATATCTTGGATGGCTTAGGTGCTGAATATGATGCGGTTGTTGCAAATCTTGTATCAAATAGTAGTAATGTGACATTTCAAGAGGCTCAGTTCTTACTTCATAAGCATGAGATGCGACTAGAAAAATAACACAATGCCTTGTTGAACTTTCATGAAATGTCTTTTGCCCTATTAGCATCTAAGACACATCAAGTTGTGAATGCTCCTGGAGTGATGGTTAATCAGCCTTCAAACATATTGAGTTCAACCATGAATGTCTGTCAAGATCCTGGACTGGTGTCTCAACAATCACAACAGACTCATAATGCTAACCTTGGTAATATTGGTTATCTGCAACTTTCACATGAACACTCAATGCTTGGACAACCTGGCAAATTCAGGCCAAGTATTAACAGAGGACCATATAACTATCTTTTTCAAGGTCGAGGATAAGGCAAAGGATATGGTAAACCAAGGCTGATGTGACAAGTTTGTAGGAAACTAGGCCACTCAGCTCTGCATTGTTACCATAGATTCGATCAGGATTATCAAGGCTTTACGGTAGCACCCTCTAATAATTCAGTACAGCCATTGTCATATCCAACTATTCTAGCTGGTTCTGTCTCATCTTCATTCCCAACAAACATTACTGATCCTGCTCAAGCACAAGCTTTGTTAGCCCAAGCATTTAACTCCAATATGACTGGCTTCCATGACTTCTCTGCTCTTAGAAGGTCCTCTTTGCATTA